GAAAGTTCATCTTTTGATACCACAGAGACTCCCATGTGCAGGGGCTGCCCTGGGTAGTATCTCAGCCTCTGTCATCACAGGTCCTGCTGGACAAGGCTCTACTGGGACAAGGACAACAGAGCAGAGAGGATGACACAGCCAAGGGGTGACACATAGAGCCCATGATGGACTGAGCACAGACTGGGCACAGCCCAGTCCATACCGGGCTCCTCACAGCCTTCTCATGTCCCCACCTGCAGTAGACTCAGCAAAGCAAACCCAAGGATTCTGGAAGGTTCTCAGGTTTTCCATTTATTTCCACTCTCAAATTTTAAGAAACTCCTCCTTTAATTAACCCACCAACCTCTCATTGCAAGAATTTGAGAAAATAAATTTATATTCAATTCTTATTTTCAGTAGCTCAGTGCACCATGACCTTGAGACAGGGATGGAGATGTCGCAGCCCTTCCTTGCTGGAACAGGAAACATGATTGGGCACAGCACACGGATCACCGTGACAGAGGGAGCAGGTCACAGGGGTGGGCTGGCCTCTCCACCCCCATCACATTACGGAAACAGGGACGCAGAGTAATTCAGAGGCCTTTGAAGATAGAGAAGTCAGAGGCTTCTGAAGCCACAAAGGGGAGGCGTGAACAAATCCTGCATCTCTCAGTCCCAACGGGCAGCCGTCTCACACTGCAGAAAAAAATAAGCAGGGAGAAATTCAGGTCACGATAAGTGGTGACACTATGAACAGCACACCATAGTCAAAATATCCCAATCACAGAATCCCCACAGCCCAGCTGTGTCCCCGCTGCCCAACCCCCTCCCATTATCAGGCCCCCAGGCTCTCACCTTTACAAGCCGTGAGAGACACATCCGAGCCCTGGGCACTGTCGCTGCCTGGAGTAGAACAAAACAGGACCTGGTCAGAGCCCACAGGAGATGCGGCTACAGGAGGAATTATGGGGTGCGGGAGCTCCCCCATGGGCTCCTGTCTGCACTATCCCAAAGGTCTCAAGGATAAGTCCCCCATACTTACAGGCGGCCTGTGCGTAGCTCCCTCCTTTTCCACCTGTGGGAAGAAAATGCCCTGTGAGAGGCCAGAGAGGAGGCAGGGCCATGAGGTCCTAGAAAATCCCCCTAGTCTTAGACCCCAGAGAAGGTTACAGAACTGTAACTGAAGATCTAGGCCAAGATTAAGAAACACAAGGAAAGGAGGGATTAGACCAACTAACTGCCTTCCTGGAGGTCTGTCCTCAGCAGGGACCTGTCCCTGTGACCTGTGACTTCTGGGATTCAGGTCCCCATTACCACAATCGTCAAGGTGATAAATTTGTTCTTCACTTTCCATGTCCTTTACAATAGAGCAAGTGGGAGCAAATATGGTCCCTGAATGATGCAGGGCACACTTCTGTCTGGGCTTGAAACCCCCACTGGGACAAGAAAACCCAGACCCCACCCTCACCCCTTCCCCACCTGAGCTCTTCTTCCTCCACATCACAACGGCGACCACAGCTCCAGTGAGCACAGCTCCAAGGAGGACCAGGCCAGCAACGATGCCCACCATGGGGACGCTGGGCTGGGAAGGCGGCTCTGGAAAAGGACGGGAAGGTGAGGGGCCTGACCCCAGGCTCAGCCCTGACCCTGCTGAAGGGCTCCAGAAGGGCTCCAGAAGGGCCCCTGCTTTCCCTGAAAAGAGATGTGACCCCCCCATCCCGTCCTTACCCCATTTCAGGGTGAGGGGCTCCGGCAGCCCCTCGTGCTGCACATGGCACATGTATCTCTGCTCCTCTCCAGAAGGCACCACCACAGCCGCCCACTTCTGGAAGGTTCCGTCCCCTGCAGGCCTGGTCTCCACAAGCTCCGTGTCCTGGGTCTGGTCCTCCCCATCCCGCTGCCAGGTCAGTGTGATCTCCGCAGGGTAGAAGCCCAGGGCCCAGCACCTCAGG